AAGAAGGTCATTGTGTGTTCAGTGGGGTTTATATACAGATAATTCAAGACAGAATTGCAGCCTTTGATACAGAAAAAAATGATAATAAATTATTAGAAATTAAGCACATTTTAGAGACAAAGTTGCCCAGTTTTGTGCTACCATCTGCACAATACGCTCCACCATTACTCAGATTTAAAACTTCATAACATAGTATTTTACTTTGATATATTTTAGCACTTTTAATTTTTAGATTAAATAATATTGTTTTGTTTTATATATATACATAAATCTAAGATGGTTACTATTGTATATTTTGATTGTATCTAGCCTTAAGGCTGTAATAAATGTGTGTGTGTGAGACACAAAGGAAGTCCGTTAAAAGTATAAATACATTTCAAGCACGTATTGGGGGGGAAGAGATCAATTAATCTTTAAATCCTTGGGTATATCTACAAAAGAACAAAATCTGAAGCCAGGATAAGGTATGTAAAAGTACTAAAGCTGCAATACAGGAACAATACAAGAAGTTAGTAATGCTGCAATCAGAAGCAGGAGGAGAAAAAAAGCAGTTTATGTGCAGAAAATCAAGAGAATTGAAAACAAATACAACTGGGCCTGGAAATAGGGAATGGAAAGGTCTTGATATAAACTAATATTCTTGTGCAGAGAAAGATACATTTATAATCATGAAAATGGAAGGAAGAATAGGATCATTTGTTTTGCGCCAGCCTTAGTACATTAAGACTAACTACTAACGTACATAGGTTCTGTATGATTGGTAATTACATTAAAAAACTAAGTCTCTGATCATACAGAGAGAGCTAAAAGTAGTACACAGGGAGATTTTCTTCTTCTTTTTTTTTAATTTCTGAGAGTTAGAGGCCACCAGACTCCAAAACTGCTCTGGGCAGTTTACATCACATAATAATAATAAAGAAAACAACAGAAAACAGCAAGTAAATCCCATGCTTCTGGACAAACCCACTCCTTCTAACAAAATAATCCCCTACAAGGCTCCACAAACACCCTCTCCAAGGCCTGGGAGAACAGTTAGGTTTTTAAGGCTTTCCAGAACATCATTTGGGTAGGGGCAACATGGATCTCTGTGGGGACCTCATTCCAGAGGCCAGGAGCAGCAACAAAGGTGGCATGCTTCCTGGGTCCCAACAGATAGCAATGTTTGATTGAGGGGACCTGAAGCACACCGCCTCTGCCCTATTTTACCAGAAGGGCAGAAACCATGGGAGATAGGTGGCCCCTCAGATAACCTGGCCCTATGCCCTGAAGGCATGATAGATGATAATCAGCAATGTGAACTGCTTCTTGTGAGAATTTGTGCAAGTTACAGGCTGGGTCAGCCAGCATAACATTCCTTTGCCCCGTTCAGGTCTTTGCTATAAATAAGTATCATGTCCATTTATAAGGAGGCTGTGAAGAATAAAAACTCGACATGACAGTGCGTGTTCCAGTTTCCTGGAAGGCAAGATCCAGAACAGGGGTCCCCAAACTCTTCAGCCATCCACCCCTTCATGAAGTTTCAGATGGTTCATCAATCCCCAAATGTTTATGACATGAAAATATTTTAATATATACTACTTTAACTAATAGTACTATGAATGATAACAATAATAATAATAATCAAATCCTTGGATAGTCCCATCAACCCTTGAGGGTTGATACTGATCACTCTGTGGAACCCTGATCTAGCACCGCTCAACTACAACCCAACTTGCTGTATATGCAACACCGTACACCCATCCTTCCTCCCTCCTTCTCCCCTTCTGTTTTTTCCAATCCCTATTTTTAAGGTTGCAAGTTACTTACCTGGAACCAGGGAAAGCTGTAATTTTCCCTCTATCACACTAGAGATGCCACATATTCTCATGGCAGAACATAAATTGTTATTAAAAAGAATAGTATAAAAATGTGTAGAAATAGAGATCTGGGCAGAAAAAAAAAAATCCGGATTACCACTAAATGGCAGCGAGGGGTTAGTTTTCCCCTATTGCTCTGATGCTTGTTATTTTTGATGTTTGTTATTTGTTTAATGGCTCCTGTTCTGCTTTGTGGAATTTGTTATTACAGCATTTTAGCCCAGGCTGCCTGTTGATTTAATAGCTTTAGCTCCTTATCTGTTTTCATACCTTTTTAGTTTTCTGCGCTGCCCAGAATTCACTGCAGTTGGGCGGCCAATACATAATAATAATAATAA